TCATCACCTTTGTCTCTGTCGATTGATTTCTAGAGTACAATGAATAATTTGTTCTGAATATAATTTGAAGCTACATATATTTACGACTTGAAATGAGGCAATAAACCCAGCGAAGACAGGTATTCTAAAGGCTTTGTGTCATACAACCTTTTGCTGTATAGAAATTCGCACTCGCATTTTGGCACTGTGTATAATAGTTTCTAGTTAGCGGCAATGTTGATGTACATAAAATTGTCTCGATCGACATACTATTAAAAATATACGACATATTATTAAAAATATAATTTTTTTTGTTTGATTTTTCCTTGACAGCAAGATTCACCCCTACTGTGTTATTCATGTTTGGGGCCTACTTATGAACATGAAAAGACTTAGTGTACGATGTCTTTTTATGGCAACTAGCATAATTAAAAACGCAACATATCCAAAATTGAAATGCAGGTATAATATAGGATATAATAAAAATGAGAATATATCAACTCTACTGCTTTGAAAATAACTTATTATAATTACAATCTGCCACACCTATAAAAGTGTATAAGCCTCCCTAGGTCACTGAAATATTTCACATTGTGTGTGCACTTGCATTTTCATGCAATTTTGTAAGGTATAAAGCTTCATATGTATTAATTTTGCTGACTTTACTTGAACTAATTTAAATGCTAACCATGCATTATTGTCGTAACATATATCTGATTCTGTCTTTCAGGCCACAATTGGTATAGATTTTCTCTCAAAGACGATGTATTTGGAAGATAGAACAGTTCGTCTTCAGCTGTGGGACACAGCGGGTCAGGAGAGATTTAGGAGTTTAATTCCTAGTTACATAAGAGATTCTACAGTAGCAGTTGTTGTTTACGATATTACAAGTAAGGAATAAACCATATCCTTTGGGCATTACAAATCCCACATTTTGACTGTTTGTTTGTGTCATAATTTGAATTGATCAAAAGTTGCATTTCCACTTTGCAAATCTGTGAGGTTCCATCCAGTCATCAATAAATACACCATCAAATGTTGAGATTGGTAGGTAATTTGTAAACAATAGTCAGTTTAGGTGTGTTTTTTTTCTCTTATAGCTATCTTTGTATAAGAGTACTTTCATAATGTATTGTGTGGATAGGTCAAGGCAGGATATCTACTCTTGTAGCAAAAATATTATTTTCTCACATTTTATGTTTTAGATTGTTTTCAGGAGTGAACCACAGATTTAGAATGCGGGTGCCTAGTTTTATTAGTACATTGCACAATTTAGTGAATGAGAATATATGTGTGTGTAACGGGCTGCCAATGTTTGACTTGTCAGGTAATCGGAATGTATGTATATGTAACCTCAGACAACTAATAATGCCAAACGACTGGCAATGCGATATTTCTTTTGATTTAGCATGTGTCTCGTGTTTACTTTTGCGATAATGTTTTAAGCTAATAAGCAACTGGGGGAGTAAAGAAAATGTCCACGTAGTCACACGAAAACACACAGTTATAGCGATGTTTCAACAGGAAGTGACACGAAAGGTCAGATCAAAGTTTCATTTTTTTCTTACGTTAGTGATTCTCACGGGCCCACAGACAATCATAAAACAACTCTGGTTAACAATAAAACAGGAAGTATAAAATTCAGTTGCAGGTCAAACTAAATAACAGTGGAAATAAATCTGGTGGAAGTAAGTAATAAACGTTCTCTCAACGCGACATTGCTACACAAATGTAAAAAATCAAAACATAGCGTCAGTACTAATTCAAGACTGTTATATTAATTTTGCCTCACTTTAGTTGACTGGTATACTTCTTGCCCTGATGTATCATATTTTCAAAGGCTTTTAATACATGATTGGCAAAATTTAATAACATAAGACCAGCTTTGTTGTAAACATGGCGACCTGAACTATCCTAGAAAAATTGAGTCACTATTGGAAAAAATTGCCATGTTCTGGTAAAAGTTTTTCTTGTTTATACATTCAAGAAAATTACTATGAAGATAGTCTATAAATTCAAATAATCGTTACTTTCCTGAAATATGGTCAATTTTGGCTAAACAATATATTATTTGGTAACTCGAAGCAAAACTCTTGTTTCCGGGTGATCTGATCTGAACTGAATGCAGAGAATGACTAAAATGCATGCGAGACAGATGATTCCCGATGTGTGTACTCGCCATTCAGCAAAATTTGGCAAGGCATGGGCACAAGCGTAGCGGAGACGCACATTCGTCAGGGATTAGGCCGATTGACACCTCTAAACAATAGCGTTGTAAGTCTGTTTTATTAGTTGTCTGAGATGTGACTGATTGCCAATGCCTAGCTTGGTAGTACATTGCACAACATGCAAATGTATATCACTTTCATTTCAGATGCGAATTCTTTCCACCAGACATCTAAATGGATTGATGATGTGCGAACAGAAAGAGGTAGTGATGTTATTATAATGTTAGTAGGAAATAAAACAGATTTAGCTGATAAAAGGTAAGATGGTCACCTCAATTCATTGATATGCATTCACTGCATGCAATCATTTCTCTCATCTCGTTCTAACAGTAGTTTCCTTGAAAACACCTTCACCATATTACCCAACCACAATACTTGTTTCATCATATGCACTGTTTTACTACAACAGTGTTGATACATTGTTAAAACTGAATATGTGTAAGATAAAGGCTTTGACTTTATTTTTTATCATGCCCATCCATTTTCATTGCACTTTCCTTTCATGTAGACAAGTATCCATTGACGACGGTGAACGCAAAGCCAGAGAACTTAATGTTATGCACATTGAAACTAGTGCCAAATCAGGCTACAACGTTAAACAGGTAGAGTAATGTCAATTTGTGGTTGCTGTGGTGAAGGATTTTGTTTTTTCTTCTTCTAGACAAGTTTCAATTGATGAGGGGGAACGCAAGGCAAAGGAACTTAATGTAATGCACATTGAAACCAGTGCTAAGACTGGGTATAATGTAAAACAGGTAAGCAAGTAACCTGCCTTGGTGTGACACCATAATTGGTATCATTATGTATCTAAATACAAAATTATGGCCTTGCCCTAACATTTGTGGAATTATTTTCACAAGCGATTTGGTGTATCCTGCTGTATTTCATGAGTGAAAATCATTGGGTGACAGAGACAGTGAAATGAGATCTGTTCAAAGTAAAAACAATAGTATATAATGCACAGACATTTCTTGTGACAGGGCTTCTTTCAATGTAGTTTAAAATCGATATATAATGTAAATGTATGAGAACCAACATCCACCTTGTGTGTTCAGTCATTGAATAGCATATTAATTTGCATATAACAAGTAAAAATACCACTCAGTTATCATGTCTTAAACAAATTTGTTAACGTTTCCTGATGTTCTATGATATACAAAGTATTTTAAGAGCACATATGGTGTAACCAATGGAATTCCATAAAAAACAGACAGGATTTGGCGGGAGGGGGGTGTACTCATTTGCATACCAATAGTGGAATTATTGAGTATATACCGTATTACCCCGGGCACGCGCCCCT